ATTTCCCCTGCCCACCCCCTGCTCACCCCCTGCTGGCCATGGAGACGTGGTCGGTGGGCGACAGAGTGGCCGACAGAGTACGCCACACTCCCACCACCTCCCCCTCCCCTCCCCCTCCCCTCCCCCTCCCCACCACACACACACCACACCACTCACTTGTAACGGCCACAGCACGGAAATACGGGATCGGTGCGGTTTGTGGGCGAGACAGAGTTTGGTCAGGCTGGCGAGGTGTGGGTCGGACTGGAGATGGACGCCAGGGTCGGGTCAGGCGACGGCTCGGTCGACGGCGTGGCCTACTTTGCCGCCAAGTCCAAGCACGCCAAGTTTGTGCGCCCGGGCATGATCTCGGCCGAGGCATCGACACCGATGACGCCGATGACGCCGCAGCTCTCGCGCACGTCGTCCATGGCCTCAGACTTTGGAACCCAACCGCTCTCGCCGGCCGTCCGCGCACGGATCCCGCCACACATCGCCCAACGGCTCGCCGCCGTCGGCTTGCCCTCGCTCCCTCAGCTGAAGCAGGCCCAGTCAAAGGTTGCGCTCGGCTCGCGTGCCGCAGACCGCGACGGAAACCTGGGCACGGTCCGGTTTGTCGGCTTTACCGACTTTGCGCCCGGCGTGTGGGTCGGACTCGAGCTCGATCGCCCACGCGGCAAGCATAGCGGCTCGGTCGACGGTGTCCCGTACTTTACTGCTGCACCCAACTGTGGCAAGCTTGTGCGGGTCGAGAGCGTCCGCGACCCGGCTGATGTCGCGGCAAAGGCCAAGGCCAGCAGTAGTGACGGTGGCGGCGACGCCGGCCTCGTGCCGGTTGCGGTCGTCACTGCGCCGTCAAACGGTTCGGGCTCAGGCACGGACTCGGGCTCGGACTCGAGTGAGCAGTCGACGGCATCGACAGCGGCGACGTCATCATCCAAGTCGACGGCAGCGTCTGATTCGGCAGCCGCTGCCTCGGCCGACAACCTCGACGGCATTGTGGTTGTCGACGATAGCAGCAACGTCGACGTCCCTCCGAGCGAATCTAGCAGGTCGCTCCGGCCGTCACGGTCAGTCGAGTCGGTGGCACCTGCCAGCACGCCGCCAGGCTCTCCGCCACAGGCCTCCGCCGCAGCAGCGCGCATGTTCCCACACCTCCGCAATGAGATGCCATCGCCGATTGCGCGGCGGGCATCGATTGCATCGCCAAACGCACGGCACCTCCCGCCGCGGATTCCGGCCTCGTCGTTGGCCAACGTCAACGCCGCGCTCAACATGGACACTGCACTTCTCGAGGCCTCCAAGGAGCTCACCGGGCCGCGCGACCGCATGGCCCACAGGCTCAAGCACGTCGCTGACGTCGACGTCCCGTTCCTCCTCGCCGAGATGCTCGACAACGGCCGGCTCGACGACTCAAGCCTCGTCCCGCTCCTGCGACCGGGCATGGTCAGCCTCGACCTGCGCGGAGCGACCAAGCTCACCGACGCCGCGTACATCACCATTGCCTCGTCGTGCCCGCATTTGACCACCCTCGTCGCTGCCGATAGCTCGCTGAGCGACCGTGGCCTCGCCGCGCTCGGCAGTCACGCGGCGTCACTCACCGCGCTCGACATCTCGGGCAACGAAACTGTGACCGACTCGGGCATCGAGGCGCTGCTCGGGCCTGGCATTGTGGCGCTCGCGCGGCTCAACATGGCATGGTGCACGCAGCTTACCGACGCTGCGCTCCGTGCGTTTGTAGCGCACATGCCGCGGACCTCGGCTCGCATCGACTTTAACGCCTCGGGATGCTCGCTGCTAACCTGCGCGAGCCTCGCGCGGCTGGCGGCCACCGCCGGCCCGCTCCTCTCGTCGTTTGTGGTCGCGGGCATGCCCGCGCTCGCTGACGCTGTGCTCGACGCACTTGCCGACTGTTGCCCCAATGTGCAGCACGTCGACGTGTCGGGCGCCGGCGAGGTGACGTCCCCGGCGCTGAGCCGGGTCTTTGCCACCGGTGCCCTCCTCCGTGACGTCGACGTGGCGCGGACGTCGCTCGACGACACGGGGCTCCTTGCGCTGCACCGGGCTGCGAGCCGGTTGCGGCACCTCGACTGCTCCAACACGGCGATCACCGACCAGGCAGCGCTTGTCGTCTTTGCCGACCTCCCGCACCTGCGCTCGCTCTCGATCGCCGGATGCGCCAGCATCACCGACGCACCGCTGGCGGTTCTTTACGACACCGCGCCGCATCTGCGGTCGCTCGACATCTACGGCTCGCAACATGTCTCGATTGCGCTCGTCCGCAAGTTCCGGGCGCGCGGCGTGGTCGTCATCCGCTCCAAGCACCACAAGCGTGACTGACGACGGCATATGACCATGCGTTAAACATCCTTTACCGGCGCTGCTTGCGGGCCGACGTCGCCGAGCCGAGCGAGACGATCGACTTGCGGTCCTTGGTCCGACGCTTGATGAGCTGCTTGGCGAGCGGGGCGCCGTCTTGCCCGACGGCGGCCACAAGAATCTCCCGCATCTGGGCAGGCGTCTCGATTGACCACAGCGTGTTGAGAATGTCGGTGCTGTCGTCACCGGTCAGCCGGCGCATCTGCCCGGCGAACCAGTTGAGGGTGGCAGGCGAAGGGCGGTCAAGATCGTCGAGTGGGTCCTTCTTGGGCGCGGCGGCGGTGCTAGCCCAACCGCCGGAGCCGGAGCGCCCGTCCGGTCCCGCCCGGCGGCGGCAA